TCAGTTATATGCAGGCCAAGCTCATACCTGTAATCCTAGTACTTTAAGAGGCTGAGGCAGGAGGATTGCTTGAAGTCAGGAGTTTGAGACCAGCCTGAGCAATGCTGAGACCCTAAAAGTAGAAAATTACTAAAAGTAGAAAAATTAGATTGGGCACGGTAGCTCATGCCTGTAATCCCAGCATTGTGGAAGGCCAAGGCAGGAAGATCCCATGAGCTCAGGAGTTCGAGGCCAGCCTGAGCAAGAGTGATACCTCATCTTCATTGATAATAGAAAAACTAGGCAAGCATGGGTGGGCACCTATAGTCCCAGCTACAGCTACTCACAAGGCTAAGGCAAGAGGATTGCTTGAGCCCAAGAATTTTGAGGTTGCTATGAGCTATGACGCTACAGCACTTTACCCTGGGGGACAGAGTGAGACTCTATCTCAAAAAATAAAAATTGGAAAAAAAATAAAAACAGGCTCAGTTGGCAGGGCACCGGCCACATAAACCGAGGGGGGCAGGTTTGAAACCCAGCCCTGGCCAGTTAAAACAACAATGACAACTGCAACAACAAAAAAAATAGCCAGGTGTTGTAGTGGGCACCTGTAGTCCCAGCTACTTAGGAGACTGAGGCACGAGAATCTCTTAAGCCCAAGAGTTTGAGGTTGCTCTGAGCCCTGATGTCATAGCACTCTACCGAGGGTGACATAGTGAGATTCTGTCTCAAAAAAATTAAATTAAAAATAAAAATATATTTGAAAATAATTAATGAATTGTAATCACTGTCTCTTGGTAATAAAACATTTTATCAAGCACTATGCTAGGCACTTTGCTAATTATAGCTCAGTTTTCCCCAGCAATCTGTAAAATGTGAACTAGTAGTCAAACCTTTATAGATGTAGCTTGGAGAGCTTAAGCAGTTCCCAGTGTTTATTAATATATAGCCACAAATACTGGGTAGGCATTTAAAGCCTATCTGAAATTTAGATGTCTCATATGTATTTAGGGGCTTCTAAAATGGCTCTCTCTATATACATATATGTATATTTTTTAATTTTAATTTTTTTTTTTTAAGACCAGGCACATTCTCACTGGGTGAAGAGGACTAGGTCTTAGGCTTTTGCCTAGATTAGAGTGCAGTGGCATCATCATAGCTTACTGCAGTCTCAAACTGGTAGGCTTGAGTGATCTTCTTCCCTTGGCCTGCCAAGCTGGAATGTACTACAGGCACATGCCATCACACTGGGCTAATTTTTCTATTTTTTGCTGTGATGGGGTCTCACTTTGTTGAAGGTTTGCTGCTTACGGTGGTCTCAAATTCCTGGAATCAATTGATTGTGTCACCTGAGCTTCTCAAAGTTCTAGGATAGGCATCCTCAAACTATGGCCTGTGGGCCACATGTGGCCTGCCTAGGACATTTATCCGGCCTGCCGGGTGTTTTTGCCGCTGCTGCCTATCCTGCTTAGCAGCTAACTAGTTCTGGGGCCTGCAGTCCAGCCCTCCAACGGTCTGAGGGACAGTGAACTGGCCCCCTGTTTAAAAAGTTTGAGAACCCCTATTCTAGGATTATAGGCATAAGCAACCGCATTTAGCATAAAATAGCTATAATTGATTGCTTTGTATAATCTCACCTCTATAAATACAATAATATATCTTCTAATGTCTGCCATGTATAAGATAACAAAGCCAGTGTCTTAAACATGTATTCTTTATTTGTTGTTGTTGTTTGTTTATTTGAGACAGTCTAATTTGTCACCTTGGGCAGAGTGCTATGGCATCATAGCTCACAGCAACCTCAAACTCCTGGGTTCAAGCGATCCTCTTGCCTCAGCTTCCCAAGCAGGTGGGACTACAGGTGCCTGCCACAATGTCCAGCTCTTTTTTAGAGACAGGGTCTCGCTCTTGCTCAGGCTGGTTTCAAACTCCTGAGCTCTAGCAGTCCACCCACCTTGTCCTCTCATAGTGCTAAAATTACAGCCTTGAGCTACTTTGCCCAGCCCTTAAAGATGTATTCTCTTTTAAACTTCATATTGTTTTTCTGAGTAAATTGGAGATGGAGGTTGCTGTGAGCTGTGCCTCTACGGCACTCTACCGAGGGCGATAAAGTGAGACTCTGTCTCTACAAAAAAAAAAAAAAAAAAATAGCTGGGCATTGTGGCAGGTGCCTGTAGTCCCAGCTACTTGGGAGGCTGAGGCAAGAGAATCGCGTAAGCCCAAGACTTGGAGGTTGCTGTGAGCTGTAATGCCACGACACTCTACTAAGGGCCACATAGTGAGACTCTGTCTCAAAAAAGTACAGCACTGGCCCCATATACTGGAGGTGGTGGATTCAAACCTGGCCCCTGCCAAAAACTGCAAAAAAAAATTTTTTTTCTTTTGCTGCAAAGAGTTACTGGCTTTGGGCACTCTTGAGAACAAAACATGGGCATATGCCCAGATGATCAAAAATTATTTTACAACAAAGACATTTGCTGGGCAGCGCCTGTGGCTCAAAAGGGTAGGGTGCTGGTCCCATATGCCGGAGGTGGCGGGTTCAAACTCAGCCCCGGCCAAAAACTATAAAAAAAACAAAAAGACATTTGCACCAGAATATTTATTGCAGCCCAAGTCATAGTAGCCCAGACACAGAAACAGTTCAAGTGCCCATTGACCCATGAATGGGTTAACAAATTGTGCTATATGTGTACCACGGAATACTATGCAGCCATAAAAAAGATGGAGACTTCACATCTTTTATGTTTACCTGGATGGAGCTGGAACATACTCTTCTTAGCAAAGTGTCTCAAGAATGGGAAAAATAGTATCCAGTGTACTCAATATGACTATGAAATCAGTATATAATCATGTGAATGGCAAAACATAACTATAGTCCAGAAAACAGAAGGGAAGAGGAGAGCGAAGAGAGGGGAGGGGGAATAAGGGAAGAGGGAGGGCATTTGGGGGGACCTCACCTAATGTGCATGTTCCAATGGTACATTTCAAAACTATTAAGAAATGAGTATAATTGTGATGGATGTGTTATTTAGTTCAGTGTAAACATTACACATTGTATATCGTAGCAGTAACCTGAACCCCATAAATGCATCAATGTACCAAGTTATGATTTAATAAAAAATAATAATAGGAAAAGAAAACATGAAGAACAGAACATGGTGGCCAGACACAGTGGCTCATGCCTATAATCCCAGCACTCTGTGAGGCAAGGGCCAACCGATTACTTGAGCTCACAAGTTGCAGACCAGCCTGAGCTAGACTGAGACACCATCTCTAAAAATAACTGGGCGTTGTGGCAGGCCCCTATGATCCCAGCTACTTGGGAGGCTGAGGCAAGAGAATCGCTTGAGCCCAGGAGTCTGAGGTTGCTGTGAGCTATGACTCTATAGTGCTCTACTGAGGGTGACAAAGTGAGACTGTCTCAAGAAAAAAAAAAAAAAAACCATGGGGAATGATTACCTTCAACAACTTTCACGATAATTGTCAGTGAAGTTGGACAGAATTTGGTAAATTTAGTGAGTCTTTGTACAGATTGTGGACCACCCATGGCAAGAAAAAATGAAGGGCTTATTGCACAGATAAAATACTAACACATCTACCGGGAGGCTGAGGCTGATGGATTGCCTGAGCTCACAGGCTAGAGACCAGCCTGAGCAAGTGCAAAAGACCCTGTTTCTAAGAAATAGCCAGGTGTTAATGGCGGGCACCTGTAGTCCCAGCTACTCGGGAGGCAGAGGCAAGAGAATTGCTTGAGCCCAAGAGTTTGAGGTTGCTGTGAGCTATGATGCTACGGTACTCTACCAGGGATGACAAAGTGAGACTGTGTCTCAACAACAACAAAAAATAATAATTAAAATAAATATTAACAACAGATCCAGATGCTTTCATTTATTTTCATTGTATCTTGCAATAGCAAAATCTCAGTGCTAAAGCTAATTATTTTAAGTGACACCTTGCAACAAGCTGTAAGCATTGTTAAGTATATTCTGTCAAACGCAGCACAGCCTCAGTTTCATAACATGCTGAAGTTGAATGATGAGGTAGTCAGTATGGGTTTGTAGCATCATTCTAAACCAGGTTGGCTACGCAGGGGCAGGTGTTAGCCAAAATTTTATCTCTGAAAGAACAGAAAGTTAAATTTTTTTTTTAAGAAACAGAGTCTCACTCTGTCTCCCAAGGTAGAGTGCTGTCGTATCACAGCTCACAGCAACCTCCAACTCCTGGGCTCAGGCGATTCTCCTGTCTCAGCCTCCTGAGTAGCCAGGACTACAGGCGCCCTCCACAACACCCAGCTATTATTTTCATTGTGGTTTGGCAGGGGCAGGGTTTGAACCCACCACCCTTGGTATATGGGGCTGGCACCCTACCCACTGAGCCACAGGCACTGCCCCAGATAGTTAAATTTTATGAGGAACTGAATCAGCACTGTGGATTATTGAAAGAAGATTTCTATAGGAATGTAGGATTTCTATGTGATATGTCATTTCGAAATGACTTGAATGTTACTTTGTAAGGTAAAACTAAGTCTACATGTGGCAAAAAAAAAAAATCCAACATTTTGAAAAAAGCTATCTTTTTTCAAAACGCTTTCAAAAGGAAATTATTTAATTTTATTTTTTTTGAGACAGTCTGAAGCTGTCGCCCTGGGTAGAGTGCTGTGGCATCACAGCTCACAGTAACCTCAAACTTTTGTCTTGGGCTTAAGTGATTCTCTTGCCTCAGCCTCCCAAGTAGCTGGGACTATAGGGGCCCACCACAACATTGTGCTATTTTTTTTTTTGTTGTAGTTGTCATTGTTGTTTTCACTGATCTGGGCCGGGTTTGAACCTGCCAGTCTCGGTGCATATGGCCAGTGCCCTACCCACTGAGCTATGGGCACCACCTCAAAAGGAGATTTAGATGAACATTTTCCTCAGTTAGCAAAGGTCATTGATGAACAGGATAATATATATGCAGATCATGTGATGAATATGCAGCTGTTATAGGCCTAGTAATTGGAGAATATAACAAAAGGTTCACTGAAGACTATACTTTTAGTGATCATTTCTATACTTCGTTACTAAAGAAGTCTCTCTGAATGTGTAGAGCACCGGAAACCATGAGGAGGAGGCGCAGCATTCTCCCTTGAGTGTGAAGCTGGCTCTTGCTGTTGCTTTACTGCAGTTGCGACTTGCCATTGATGATGGTTCTTCTCTCCCTTCATGGGAGTAAGAGGGAGAGAACACAGTAAAAAAAAAGGTTCACTGACTTTGATAATCATAACGCTCAAATTAGCATTTCAGCCTCACCTGATTGATATTACCAAGGCATCTAAAGAACTACAGATGGAATTGAGCTCTCAGTAGATAACATTGTCAAGTTACTGATGCAAAGAAGAATCCAATTGAAATACGGAAAAATGCAGTAGAATATCTACACCATTGGCAACATGCCCCCAAAATGCTTTCTTTGTTTTCAACCACTTACATTCTCCTACCTGACAGAAATCATGACACCCTTAAGGTCACAAGTGACTGATACCTATCTAGAGGATGAGCTGAAATTGATCTCCATGGTACAACCTCCATGCTTTCCAACATAAAGTGGACACAGCAATGTTATTAAAAGGTTGGTTAGGCCGAGCAGGATGGATTACCTGAGCTCATAGGTTTGTGACCAGCCTGAGCCAGAGCGAGACCTTATCTCTAAAAATACCCAGGTATTGTGGTGGGTTCCTGTAGTCCCAGCTACTAGGAAGGCTGAGGGAATAGAATCACTTGAGCCCAAGAATTTGAGGTTTGCTATGAGCTGTGATGCCATGGCATTCTACTAGGGGCAATAAAGTGAGACTGTCCCCCCTCCAAAAAAAGGTTAACTTTAAAATTATCAATTAAGGCTGGTGCAGTGACTCACTCCTGTCATCCTAACACTTGGGAGTCAGAGGCAGGTGGATCACCTGTGCTCAGAAGTTCAAGACCAGCCTGTGCAAGAGTGAGACCCTGTCTCTATTAAAAATAGGAAAAAAAAAGAAACTAGCCAGGCATTGTGGCAGGTGCCTGTAGTCCTACTGAGGTAAAAGGATCACTCCAACCCAGGAGTTAAAGGTTTCTGTGAGCTATGATGTCACAAGTGACAGAATGAGACTCTGTCTCCAAATAAATAAATAATTTTATTTTTGAAATTACTAAATACACAGTAGACTGATTTTTACA